GAGTGAACTGTTTTATACTGAGTTTAATTGTCCCATGGGTCCCCTCAGAGGCCATGTTTTGATTAGTACTCTTTGCTAAGGCACCTGAATTCGAGGAAGACAAGTGTATACTGAGAGAACTCATCAGTTAGCTGTGCGCTGATTGCAGACACGTGTTTAAACATGTTTTGTGTGGAATCAGCCCTTGTATGTATGCACTGGGTCCCTGGTGACAACTTTTTACTTACCTTCCTAGTTAGGTGACCTTTGTAGATGCTCAGAATGGAACAAGGTTCATTCCATACCCAATCTTGGGCCAACCCTCCTCAGACGCATACATGAAGTCAGCCACAGCCAATGACCCATCGGCTGGGGAGGGCCCGGGAAAAGTCATGGTATTTGGGGGTAACTTCAATGGGATAGAGTGACTGAAAAATTAACCTTAAGTTTTATTTCCTTTCTAAGCAAACATTTATACTTTCAAAAGGAGCCCGGACAAAATATATTGTGTGTATTTAGCTTGACTAGAGATAGGTGGTGAATTTTTCCACTTTAAAAACTGTAAATTTTCCAGTGCAACTTTGGTAAACACTGGAATCGAAAGGGTAGGCACAGGCTTGACTTTAGTATTTATTGTCCTCTGCACACAGTGTTAATGATCAGGGTGTTTGAGCCCACATGTTTTGTGGGAATTTAATGCCGGTCCCACTGCTTGGTGTAACCGCCCATCTCACAGCCTGGGACCCCGGCCTTTTGACAGAGGTCCTCCGAGGTGTAAGGACATGTACTGCTGAAGGGCCTTGTTAGTCCCGTCCCACTTGGAGATGCCGTTTGTTCAGTTTATCAATATGGACTAAGGGCCCTTCTCGCTTTCAGTTTTACGAGGTACTGCGTCCAATAGAGCTAGGTTGTAATGTTGCACAGTGACTTTTCTTTCTTTAAAGTGAATGCATTGCCTGCTCTATTAATTCCACAAAGTCCATGAGCCCTTAATGTTCAGTTTGCTTGGGATATGTAACAATATATTTGTTTCTTCCCAACAGGATCTCTTGCTGAGCTTCTGAGGCGCTCCTCTTAGATAGCTTCCTTATATCTTGGATGATTGATTCACTTCCATGTTCCCCAGAATTTATTGCTAAGGGTTGACATGAATGCTTATAGCTTGGGCTAGAATATAATCTCCTGAATGACAATTAGTAAATAAAAGATGGTTCCTATTTTTGACAGAGGAGCTAGGCTTCCTTAGAGAGTTTCCATTGTCATGCTTCCACCAGACTTCATGTCCGACATCCCGAGGGGTTGACGGTGGAAAATACCTGCTGTGAACTCCATCGCTTTTACTGCCGCCTCGGTGTTCCAAGCCTATGTGTTCCTTTCGCCTTCTTGTCCAACACCATCTTACTCAATCCCAATGTCTTCCATGAATTTACCTCCTTGGGACTAGACAAAATATGCCCTTTTCTGGATGGACTAGTAGCCCCACCACAAGATAGATGACTTGCCAGTCACACCTGAAATCTGTTTTCTAAATTTCTTGTGATTGTTTGGGGCAGAGAGGATGGGTACTTACTCTTACTCAGATGCATTTATTGAAGATTACACTGTCACCCATAAAACACCGTGTTTGTCTATGGTCAACAACTATATTGTCCTTACTGAACCTCCTGTTCATAAGCACTGACTCTGCAGAGCAACCTCTGGCTTGTGAAATTCACCCAATTGTTTAGGTTCCAGGTCAAATCTAGATGAGCAGTCTTACTTTAGGGAGGAGGCAGCCGTACCCAGAGTAGTAAGTGGCTTGCTCCATAATCAAGCAGCTGGGTAAGTGGCAGAAGCTGCTTGGAAACCTTAGTGCCAGGTTTCCTGTTTGTTGTGTGAAGAGCAGAGACAGAGAACATCTGTAGACAATATAGTACATGGAACAGAGCAAGCAACCTTGGAGGCAGTCTGTCTAAATGCAGTTTCTACCTCTGATGCTTATTAATTACGTAACTTTGGTCTGGCTGTTTACTTGCTGTGTGCCTCCATTGCCTCGGCAGTAAAATGGGGCTGTGGCAGCACCAGTGGCACAAGTGTAAGTTCTATAGTAAATGCATGTGTGCCAAGCTCTGAGAACGGTGCTGGGCCCCACACTCACTATAAGCTGACAACATGACTGTCATTATAGGAGCTCTTCCTAGAACACATAGACGGAGTATGTGTGTTGTTATTTAGTTTTGTGTCCGCGTGTATATATTCACTAGATCAGTAGTATACTTAAAAAATATGCCCCTTTAGTGGGAGGAGGGGGCAGGGGCAGGGAGTGGTGAGCAAACAACACCATAGACAGGGGAACAACTAGGGAATTAAAATCACCAATGAGGAGGACATAGAGATCCTGGGGTGTTGGACCAACAGCAATCCAGCTGAGAGGAAGTACTAAGAGGCAGAAGGGTGAGCATGATGGTGGGAAAAGAGGAAAGGAAATGGAGGAACAATCTAGGAAGCAAAGCTATGGATAAAAGGTATAAACATGAGTGTGCACTTATGTAAATGTATTAATTCATAAAAATAGAGGTATTGGGCTATGTACATATATTTATATGGCAATTCATTGAGGAAGTAGACAGACTTTGGACCTCTACTCAAACCCTCCCTCAACACAAGAACACTTTGTTCTAACAGCCTGGCTTTCTGTGATGCTCACCCTCCCAGCATGATCACTGAAGACAAATGGGTGCACAAGCAAATATGGCGAAGTAAGCAGATGGTGCCCAGCTATCAAAAGATATAGCATCTGGGGTCTTAAAGGCTTGATGTTAAACAATCGGACATCTAGCTCCGAAGCAAGAAGCCCACATGGAGGAAGCACACTAGCCTGTGCAATCATGAGGTGTTGACAGGATCAGGTAACAGGCATCAGAAGATCCCAAACAAAGAAGTAAACAAAAAAACATATTGTTGAGAATGAGGGGGTTCCTAGCAGAGACTCAAAACGCATCTGTAGACAATGGGAAATCCCCTCACAGAAAGGTCGCAAAGAAAGGATGAGTCAACCAGGGTGCAGTATAGCAGCGATGAAACACACACTATTCCTCTGGGTCCTTAACGCTTCCTCACCCCCCACTATCATGGCCCCAGTGCTGCCTATCACTTCAGACCAGGCCGGAGCATGTGCACAGGTACTGATTAGAGCTCAGGACACATGGAATCCAGATCAGCTAAATCCCTCAGGAAGAGAAATGGGAGTAGCGATAGCAGGAGGCTAGGGGGAAGATGGGGAGAGGAGGGGGACGGAACTGTGGGGGGAATGGAGGCAGTGGCCAATGTAAGATATGAAAGTAATAATAATTTATAATTTATCAAGGGTCACGAGGTGAGGGGGGCGGTAAAAGAGGAGCTGATACCACGGGTTCAAATAGAAAGTAAATGTTTAGAAAATAATGATGGCAACATATGGACAAATAAGCTTGATACAATTGATGTGTGGATTGTTGTAAGAGCTCTAAGAGTCCCAATAAAATGATCTTAAAAATAATAATAGTATCCCCTATATTCCTGAATACCGTACTGAGCCATGTGGGTAGTCGCGCTCATGGTGGCCTTGTTAACAACCAAACGTTGTTATGCTAGCAGTCACAGGTGGTGCCATGCTCTGAGCTGGACCATGTGGTAAGTATTAACGTAGGTGCTTTCTGGACATGATCCTACTCAGAAATTCAAGGGTCGTCCCTTATGAAAAGAATCCCCTTTGAAACTGAAGGAGAACATGTGCTGTGGCCCTAGTGGAAGAGCTCTTCATCTGGAAACCGGAGCCCTGAGAGAAGTTCTTCTGTTTTTAAAATAATCCTTGAGCTGCTAATATTTATATGCCCTAATCTGGTTACTGTAATGGAGGGGATTGGCGGGGGGACAGGAAATGGAGGTCAAGGCAAGAGGTGAGGGGGAGTGAGGAAACAGGGCAAAGCAAACAGTGCAAATGGAAAATATTATCAAAAAGAAAAAATTGACATTCACTACCAAACTCAAACAAAACTCACTGCCATCGAGCCAATTCTGACTTATATTTCATTTTATGTATAATTTTATATCATACAAAAAGTTTTCTCATTTTCTAGGTGCCCAAATAAAAATAGTCTTAGAAGTAAGCCTTGAGATGCAAAAGTTGTTTTCTTCTTTGCTATTAGAGCCCTGGTGGCATGGTGGTTATGTGTTGGGCTGCAATGGTCGGCAAGTTCAAAACCACCAGCCACTCAGAGAGAGAGAAAGCTAGGACTTTCTACTCCTAAAAACAGTTACAGTCTCAGAAACTCACAGGGATAGTTCTACCCTCCTCTAGGGTCGTTACGAGTTGGCATTGTCGGTGAATTTGTACAGCATTGCTACCTAAGCTGCATTCACAATACATGAAAAGATACTTGGGCAGAGTGCAATATTGAATCACAAATATAATCACTTCCGTGATTAGACACAGTTCATTCTTCAATAATCACCAAAACAATGATCGCGATAATTAAAAATACAATAGAGAGGTGCCTTGGGACAGGAACAGTGGGAGAAGCACTATCTGCGTTCTGTGTCTGTGACAGTGTGTGCTCATGCTGCACATTTACAAATACACACACTCACACATATCTCTGTGGATAGCGGCAGACATTCACGTTCATACGTGAGCATGTGTGTGATGTGTACTCTGTATCCTATACCATATATGTTATAAACATATAGACATTATTGTATGTCCTCTGCGGTTTGGGCAAACTAAACCACCTCCCTCTGCATTAGCTCCCTCTGCCAGCCATGCACATGCTATGGGACGGCGTGTCATTCACTTGGACATGTTATACAATGTTATCACTTAAACACTTCATCACAACACCATGGAAAAGGAAACTCCTTACTCGGGGTTCACCCTCAAGTTGTACCTCGCTCACTGCCCTCTTCCTGAGCTCTCCAACAGGACCTATCCTTGAGCGGTCAGTCTTCAGCACACCGCACTGTACCCTTCAGAGATGGATGACCTTTTGCCCTTTCTTTCCCAGAAGCCCCAGGCAAAGATTTTGGTCCCACTCTGGGCTTGAAGAAATCCAGTTCCTTGGAAAGCCTGCAGACGGCTGTGGCTGAAGTCACAAAGAATGAGCTGCCCTTCCACAGGCCCCGCCCGCACATGGTCCGAGGCCGAGGCTGCAACGAGAGCTTCCGAGCAGCCATTGACAAATCCTACGATGGCCCAGAAGAATTCGGAAACGGTAGGCAGTGTGAGCCCCGAGGGGTTTATTCCGTTACATAGGAATCATGAGCAAGAAGGTGCACTTAACTACAGAGAAAAATGATTTAGGGATCACAATTATATTTTTGATATTAAAAGTAATTCATTTTCCTGATATGTTTTGCCCTTTGGCTTAACGAACATGGAATTGGATGGCGCATGATGCAATTTATTTCACAGTGCAAACCCTAAAGAAATGCTCTCCTCCCTTCCCTACCAGGACCGATGTCATTTGTCCTGCAGGTAGGAGCGCTAAGCGTGCATTTCTTGAGAATCGTATTCCTGTCATTAGAAGCAGCTGCTGCACCAACCTGAGGACTGACAGCGTTAATTGGGTTGAAGCAGTTGGGTTACATTTGTACCCAAAAACCTCTCCTCGGAACAAACTCATCCTGTTTGTTTCTCAGCGTGTGGGCTTTCAGAGCTGATCAGGGTTAACCAGCCAGCTTTCCAAGAGATTAGCGTTTTTCCCACATCGCATTCCTCTCCTACAGCAGCCCAGCAACCACTATCCGCCCTCACTCCCAACAGCACCAGCACCCCAAGCTTAGAGGGACCCCATTTCAGGCCGGCATCACGTGCTTCCCTTCATTCGTCTGTACTTTACACTTTAACTTTTCTTCCTTTACTCCCCTGACCATGAGTCTGATTTTTGTTTTGTTTTGTACAGATGGTCTGTCTGATAAGAGCTCCTACTCCGGTCAAGGAACTCTGCATTGTGAATCTGCCCCTCCGGGGAACTCAGAGCTGGAGGACACGGAAAATAAAGCAAGGAAAATAAAAAAATCCAAAGAGAAGGAGAAGAAGAAGGAAAAGGGCAAGTTGAAGGTCAAGGAGAAAAAGCAAAAGGAGGAAACGGAAGAAGCGGAGAGGAAAGTCAAGAGGAAGGGATTTGGCGCTATGCTGAGGTAGGGCGCTCATCAACTTGGAGGGCAACATTGGTTTGTGCCTTCGTTGTCTTCAATCGTGGGGAATGCACCCCTTCGTGTATTCACAAGACAATCTGTTCAGCTAAATGCATACATCTACACTGTGAGTGTGCTGTTCCTGCTCTGCAGAGAGCCAGGGAGGCTTCTTGGGCTGTTTCTGCAGCAGCTGGTGATGACAAGAAGCCAGTCTGTTGCCAACTAAAGGATGAACCCTTACTAGAAGCATGAGCAAGGCATGCAGTTTGGTACCCAAGCATTATTTCAGTGAATTAAATATTTCTTCACACAAGTACTGGGAAAGCAAGAGCCAAGGCAGGCCCCAAGCTTCCCTTCTGGACCATCCCCTTTGAATTAGAGCAGTCCTTATGTCCCAGGCGCCTTGGGAGTGAGCATTGGCCAGTTTAATGATCACCTTTAGAAGCGCTGTGTGAAGTGGAGATGTATTTGGATGTACAACTAGAACCTGCCCACACAACTTATGGCCGTTCATGCTTGTGACTTCCCTTTCTCGAGCCTAACGTTCATCACTTACAAAAGGGGGCGAGCCTACTTGCTCCACTGACTCAGTGGGGTTGCGAGAAGGACATGCCAAACTCTCCCTAGAACTCTCTTATGAATGGGGACAGAGTGAGGGAAGGGCACCAGTAAAACCCTGCAGGTCATAAAACCAACAGGGATGATCGGCTCCTTCCACAAAATGACTCCGTATTCTCATCCCCTGGGAAGGGTCCCCTTACGCTTCCTCACATGTTCTGTTGTGGGTGGAAGGACAGCAGCACCTCTGCCCCGACTTTCTGTGCAGATACCATGGCTTTCCCCCAAAGAGAAGCTCGCTCTCTCCGATTACTTCTTTTACGTGGACTGAAAATAAGTGATGGGAGGTGAGAGCTGCTAGACTGGTTTGACCACCTCTTATTAAATCCATAGGTGATGTTTTCCTTAAGAATGCTGGGTGATACTTATTGCCAGTTGCTCTGTTTGGGATATTCACCTGAACTGTGCCGTCGTAAAGGAGCATTCATTCCATCTGTGTAAGGATCTTGTACACGTCAATGTCACATATTTGTGGACTGTGGATAATATTGTCACCAGGGAGTTTTCTCATTACATGTCCAGCATTCATGCAAGGCTATCTCAGTCCTCAACTTCTTGCCTCTGCACATTCTGTGCAAGTCATGTCATAATCTGTCAGCACTTACCCCAACCGGCCCGATACCTTGGTAGTCATCTGATTTACAGCCTAGTAAACGCCAATGGGACACATCTCTCAAAAAGCACTGGTCATTGTTGTTGTTGTGTGAGTACACTTCTGAAAGCTGCCTTTCTATTAGCTGTTTCAAGTTGAAAACTCGTCTTTGTTCTCAGTAATTTTCATGGCTGCCTGAATTTTTATAGACCGTAACTTAAGCATAATATGACAGCATGCAATCCATTCAGATGAGAGTCTTGACCTTAAAAGTTTGTAGTTCATAGGTTAAAAGTGCATGTTCCACATGTAGACATGTTTTGACATCCTGGCCCTTCTACTGTCCTCTATATGTTTGAATAGATGAAATCAAGTTATTTAGTTTCTTTGTGCCTTAGCTTCCCCACATGGAAACATGGGCACACTCATTCGATTCTATAATTATTGAAATAATTATATTGTTTAATATAATTATTTGTTTTATAATTGTTTAATATAAGGGTGTCCAGGAAATGACAATCTTTCAATAAGGGTTAATTATTTAGGAAGTAGACTAGTACCTCCCACCCCAAAGATGTTCATGTCTTAAGCTCTGGTACCGATGAATATATTATAAGGGAAAGGAGAACTGAGGTTATAGATGGACTTATAATTACTAATCAGCTGACCTAAAATAGGGACTAACCCTAACTTATCCAGGACAATTTGAGGAGTTCTTGAAAGTAGAAAAGGAAGGTGTGATTCTAGAAGAAAAGGCCAGAGAGGTGCCAGATTGCTTGCCTTGAAGTTCAAAGAAAAGGACTATGAACCAAGGAATACGGATGATCTATACAGGCTGGAAAAGACAAGGAGAAACACACACACACACACACACACTACCCACCTACCCACCCACCCCTCTTAGAGTCTCCAGGAAGAAATCCAGCCCTTTTAGCCCATCGATTAAAGCCTCTTTATGGTTTTTCAAAGGATAGTTGGTGCCGCAGTAGTTGAACACCTGGCTGCTAACTGAAAAGTCAGCAATACGAACCGCCAGCCTCCCCGTCGGACAATGACGTGGCAGTCTGCTTCCCTGAAGATTTACAGCCTTGAAACCCTACGGGGCAGCTCTACTCTGTCTTACAGAGTAGCTGTGAGTCAGAACTGACTGGATCCCATGAGTAATGCGTGTTATTTCAGCTGCTGAGTTTGTGGTAATTTCTTACCACAGCAATCAAAAACTAATTGAGTTATCGTAAATATTATTATTAACATTTCTACAATCTAATAATTTATAAGGAAAATGCTTTAACTTCCTAATATGAAGTATTAAAAGAAAACAACATCTAAAAAGAAAGACTTAACCCTATTAGTCTGTAACATAAAAACTGCTAGAGCTTCACATACACCATTTCCCAGAATGTAACTAAATTAAGCTTTCGTAAAATATTTTTATTTCCAATGACTTGGTTTGACGGGTTCTTGGGCCTGGTTGGGCAGGTGTGTCCCTAACACGGGGCCAGCGCTTCTCCTTTGTTGTCCAGTGGCCTCTGCCTTGGCCTGGCATAGAAACTGCGAGACATAGAGCCTTCGGACATTGACCAGTTCATGCCGTGTTGTTGCCGGCCACACTAGCGGAGCCCAACTCAGATCTGAAAGATTTGACTTGAACGTGAGGGTTAAAAATAGCAACTGCTTTGCATAGCCCCTTGCCTCTGAATCTGTGAGCAGATTGGAGCGGCGCATTTTCAACCACGAAGAACACAAGAGCTGTTCCCATTAGCCAACGGCTTCTGCTTTAATTCTCCTGTTGCTCAGATGCTATTGACTTAATTCCTTTCTTATTTAAAAAAGATTGATGGCTTTTCTGTTCTCATGGAGTTAGACGTGTGGCTTAATTAAGTATTGTGTTGTGTCTCCTGCACGTACATCTTTGAGTTGGGTTGTGCCGTGTGCCAGGGAGACCCCTGGGCGAGAAGGTTGGAGGAAGGGAAACTGTGCCTCCTTGCCCTCACTGAGCCCAGCGCTGCGGGGGCTTGTCTGTGTAAGCAGTGGCCTTGCTCCTCTGTTTGTGTTTCCACAATATGATCCCAGCCCGTCCACTCGTGTTGATGATATACACTCGGAAAATTCAGCTCGCCTGTTCATTTAATGCCCTCTTGATGAAACCACGGAGGTCACTTTAAGTCGCGTCTTTGTGCACATTGTCTAGTATCAAGATGCTCACACTTGACAGGTTCAGAATTGCTTCTTTGTGTCGTTCGAGGGTGGTTTTTACAAACACCATGGATTATTGTCGAAAATATGGAGCTCAAGAACCTACTCACTTCTGTAATTTCGCTGCCTGCTCTATTTACCCACTGCTGAAAGAGAACTTCAGGGAATCAACTTACTTGAATGTGTTTTCCCATTACATGTTTGCTTCCTGAAGCACAGTCCTCATCCAGCACTAACCGGCCCTGCAGGTCAGGGATAGGGCTCAAACTCCTTCTGTAGACAAGCCCATGGCTCTCGGGCCTATGTCACCCTCCGACAGCCCAGCAGATGGGGTCTGAGCCATGAACACGAAGAGCAATACGTCTTGACTCAGAGAAGCCTGCCCAATCTAGAAGGGAAAACCCAGACCCCGAACCCCTGATCTCTTAGCTGCTCAACAACTTTGTCAACCATGACGTTCTTCAAAACGAATGCCATCGTACATTTGAATTTCAAATCTTCTCCTGTAAGTCATCTCTGCTGTTGCTTCTTCTTTATAGACGCGAGCACCTGAGACTTTTCACCTTGCTCTGAACACCGAATAGAAAGATTAACATGGTTCACATGTCCTTTCCCATTCTCTTTGTGTCATGGAGTGCAACCAGGAGTCATGCATGCTAGTAAACCCCTTTCTAATAGATTTTTGTCCTTGTCTAAAACCTTCCAATAGAAACTCCATTCTGTGTTTTAAGGATTGACACATTAATAAAGTTTATGGAAGCCCTCCTCTTTGGCAAGAACATTCATGATTCCGAATCATTGTCTTATTTGTTTAACGATGTTTATCCGAGGCCTCTTTTGGCCCAGGCACGGCCCTAGAAGGCCCGGGACATAGATCCACAAAGCCTCTGCTTCCACGGCATTTCCTCTGAAAGAGAGGGAAGATCAGAGTCTTTTCAATTTCTTCTAAGTTTAAAACATGAAACAAGCAAAATATTTCGTAAATAGGTACGTTATCTTTATCAATGAATGCCCAGAGCATCTTGGACATACCTTAGAACCAGCTGGAGCAAACTAGTACCTTATCAGTTTAAGGAAACCAACAGTCAATTTGTGCCGCACCCTAAAGACACCCGGGGTCATGCCTCTCAGGGGACTTACATTCCAGTGCCAGGGGAGAATAAACAAGCCTGGGATAATTGACATTATTTCAGAGTGCAGTAGGTGCTGTGAAGAAAGTAAAAGTCAGAAGGGAGGGTGTCATCGCACCCCTGGTAACTGTCTAACAACACAATAGGGTGTGCATCTGCCTAAGCTACACTGCATTTTCAGCAGATCCGTTAGCAGAATTTAGCACACTGTAGTACTAATGCCACATCATTGTATCCTAGCTTTCCCCGCCCCCTTTCGTTATCTTTTTTTTAACCTATGAATCTGAAAAAGGCTGTTTTCAGCCCAATTTCACATAAGTCTCTTAAGAAAAGACGAAACCAGAATGTGTCTCTGTTAGTACACAAAGCCCGGTGACACCTGGAATCAGCAGGAAGGGCTGTGGTCTGTGGCGGAGGAGTGAATGGTGAACTTGCGTTGCTGCTGTTTCTGCCCCTGTTCCTGCAAG